GCCGTCTTCCCAGCGAGCTTGCCCGAGCGCTCCAGGATGACATCACGCACCACCGTTGAGTCGATACGCACGACGAAAGTGGACGTAGTATCGGTCGTAGATTCGCTATCTAACAATGCAATTTTAATTGTTTAAAAAAATTATAAATTTTTTATTTATTGATAACTTAGTGAATAATTAGTTATCAAAGTGTCAAATTCTTGCTTCTCTGTTTCAATATGTCGTGGACGTAATCGCATATTCGAATTAACAATATGATTATTTACTGCAAAATAACTAACAATATTAACTTGTTAATTAAATTAAACTAATAAATACCGACTTGAGAGTTATAACAACATGAAATTCAGGATCAGCGCATCAAAATTGACTAAAAAATACTTTTGTTCATTTGAAAAACTTTATAATTGTCGATTTTCTATTGTAAACAATAAATTTCCCACGGTCGTGACGTCACGCTCCTTATATAGTAATGTTTTCGCAGAGTTGCCCTAACACATTTGCATATATGTGAGAAGAGCGCCTTCGCTCAATTACCGCTTTTCTTTGATTGTCTTGTGTACGTCGGGTTGCTACTTTTCAGAGGAAAAAGGGGGACAAATCAGACTGGAGCGTTACAATAGTATTTATTTTCTATTAAGTATAAAATTAATTGTTTACTTTACCCCTATCATATAATACTTCCCTTTTATATAGCATGATCAACGTACATTGTTTTTTTCCGGTTTAAAAATTACCTAACATCTTTTGAGTCTTCAGCTTTCGTAGGATTGAGTCTTCTTCCTTCTTCTTCATGTTTCCTTCCTTCCAACTGCTCTATTTCGTTACGACTTTTTTTATATCTTACTCTTGCTTCTCTCTCTTCATCCTAATTCTTCTGTCCCTGTTATACTTGTGTCCTCACCTCTCATTACCCCCCCTCCCGCTCTTCCAACTGTTCCTCTTAATGTTCTTTTCCTCTACTTTTCCTATTATCTTCCACTAGCTTCTCAAAGGCTCTGTCATATTGACATGTTGCTTTCTCTAATTCCCCTTCCAGTATCTTTCCTAATTTTTCGATCAGTTCATTTTCTCTATTGTTTCCTGTTTAGTTATCTATCGCCTTTATCCATTCTTTTTAGGCACTTCTTCGCCGTCTCACAGATCCAGATGTGTTGGAGGTCTTCTTGCTCCCTGCCACATACTCTGCATTCCTATTTGGTGAAACCTTTGTTTCCCTCTTTTCCTATGCTGCAACATCTTATTCTTGTTCGTTCTTTTTTAAGTGTCCTTCCCCGCCCCTTTTCACCCAATATTTCTCTCTCTCTCTCTATACTAGTTTTCCATCTCTTGTAGTGTTTCCAGTAACTTGACTCCTCTATCTTGCTCCATATTGTTTAAATGTCTTGTTTGTAAAATTTTTCTCGTTACTTCCAGCAATTTCTCTTTTTCGATTTCCCTATCTTGTTGTGTTATTGTTCAACACTCCCCTTATTCCCTCCTTTAAACATATTTTAGGTAGTCTATCTCTCCTTTATCTCCAAGATCTACTCACCTGTATAATTTATCACCCTCTTTATTGTTTCCAAGTAAAGGCTTTTTATTCTTTCCTCAATCTTCCATATATAGTCTGGTGTATTTCTGTTTATTCCTAATGTTATCTCGACTATTTTCACTTGCACCTTTTCTAACTCTTTTTGGTTCGACCATTCCCACATCTCCGACCGATATAAGCGATCCGCTTTTTTTCCCATTGAATTTAGTATTAACAGTCTTCTGTCCAGGATGTTTAGTCTAGCTCTCTTCATAAGGCCCCAAGTGCTGTTTACTACCCTCAGTGCCTTTTGTTTCATTTTTCTCATATGTGTTCCGTATCCTCACCTTGAAGTAAACCAGAATCCTAAATACTTATATTCCTTCATTACTACTAGCCTTTCCTATCCATAATTCCATTCTGCTTTCCTCTTTAGTCTCCCTCCTCTCCTTACTGCCATCATCCTTGTCTTCATTACGTTTAATTCCATACCGTTCATTTTGTTATATCTTTTTATGCTGTCTAGCATCTCTTGTAGACCATACTGGGTGTCCGATTTTCCATAATTACCTCGCATGTTGTCTCTCTGTATATTTCTCTAACTATCCTCAGCATTCTTCCTGAGACTTCTTCCTCTTCCAATTTTCTAAACAGTATTTCTCTATTCACCGAGTCGAAGGCTTTTTTAAAATCGATGAAGGCTAGGAAAATGCTTCGTCCATTTCTTTGGACTTTATTCCCTAAATGCTGTTTAGCGTGAATATATGATCTCTCGTTCCCTTTTCTGTTCGAAACCTCGCCTGGCTCTCCCATAGTAAGCCTTCTTCCAACAAAGTTCCAAGCCTGTCATTCAGAATTACCATCAATAACTTGTATCGCACGTTAAGCAGAGACACTCTTCTGTAATTCTCTGCCTTGTTTTCTTCTTTAGATTTATATATTAGGAATATATGAGCTCTTTTCCAATCCTCAGGTAAATCTCCTTTTTCCTAAATCTGGTTGAAAGTCTTAGTTCCGTTAGCCAGCCTTCAGTTAAGCCCTTAAAGAACTCTCCTGGAATTCCGATCTGTCCAGCCACTTTGCCTTTTTTTTTAACCCTTTTATTGCCTTCTCCACCTCCTCTCTAATAATTTCTCTATTCATGACACTCTGTTCGCTCCATTTCTTTGTCCTTTCGCCCTCATCTTTTAGCACATTATCCTGCTCTTCAGGTTTTTCTTTGTCTTTCCCGTCATTCCTTTTTTCGGCAGCAGATTCTCATTCGCTTCCTCCTTCGGAGTGAACTGCTTCAGTTGTTCTTTCTCCGTGATTTCTGTACCTTTATCTGCTTTTTCATTTCCTGAAACTTTTCAAGGCTTCCCAAAAGTTCGCCCCTCTCTTGCTGTTTTCCAGTCTTAACCACTTTTCTTCAGCTATTTTTTTCTTCTTGATGTTCTCTAGTTCTCTCAACCTTTTTCTCCCCTCTTTATACTCTTTTCTGTCCTTGTTCTCTTTTGTTATCAGGAATTTGTTTAGTTTCTTCCTAACTAGACTGCTCAATTCTTTGTATTCTTTATCTTTCCATTCTCTTCCATCTTCTGCTCTTCCTGTTTTATGTTTTAGCTCTTTTTGCATACCTATTTTTTCCCTTATGTAAAGAACTTAGATTTCATCTAAGTTCTTTATATTAATCTTTGACTTGTATTCAGAGATATCGAGATTTATTCTGATTTCTCTTGATTGCAAATCGAGGAAATTAATAAGTTAAATACAAACAAAATAAAATAATAAGTTATCAGAAAGTTTCATAGCAAGCTACATGATGATATGCTATAGATTTACAATTTTTTGTTGCTTAATATTATCACAGATTTACTACCAAACTATATCGGTACAAGCTAGACACACCGTTAGTTGATCATTTGCTAATAGCTTTGGTTGATCATTTCTTAGTAGCTTTGGTTGTAAATTTTCAATGTTCTTGCTCTAAGATACTTAAAACAATATCAATGAATCAACCGATAATTCAAATTTTTAAAATTACACTTATATTTAGGATATTAGTATATTAAGTATATTAAGCGTAAGTTAGCTGATACAATTTTTCCAAATTTTATTGTTTATTTAATATTTGTTTGATTACTTTGATTTAATACGTACATATTTATTTTACAGCTCTGTCTAGAATAATTTTATGAATATAGGAACAATTCTTTTTGGCAAGTAATCTTAGACATTCAAGAATTCATGTAAAAATTTGTACAGAAGTTTTTTTTCTAACATATAAATATTTTAATTAGCTTCTCAAATATAGTGTTCCTTCGTTCTGTGTGACGGTGTAGGCTGGTCATGGCCTGCACCGTGTGTATGCTTCTCTCTCTATCCTAGGCGAAGGCGCACGGCTGGCATCAAACGCATGTTATTTTACGTGTCTGATGCCTGCCTTTATTCTTTCCAGCATTGCGGCTAGAAGAGAGAGAGGAGGCAGCAGCGAGCAAGCGAAATGGGGAGAAACATCAAGAGTAAGAGAGAGAGAGAGAGAGAGAGAGAAGAAAATCATATGTAGTTCGGTGAAGCTTGGCGTGCGGCACTTGTCGCGCTGGGCAGTGCCGCGTGCCGCCGATTAGGAGGACAGTGGTAGGGAAGGCGTGAGAAGCCGACTCTCACGCACTCGCGACACTAGATCGACGCACGCTTGAGAGATCGGCCGCACCAGAAGTCCTGAGGGGTCGCCATTCTTGCTATCAGAAATCAGAGAGACTGTGAGAGCCGTGACAGCGTCAGAACTGGGCTACATCTTGCGCCAGCCAAGTCACCTGCAGCCCACCTGCCAAGCAGCCATCACATTTGGTCAGGTTCAGTTTTCTCTCCTCTCTCTCTATTTTCCTCGGCATTGTTTCGCGGTTTGTGTGCGAAGAAACTGTGTGTGTGAAGATCATTGTGTCTACACCTTCTCTTTCCTGCTTTGCTAGGAGCGACACACCGCCTCCCTTACCCTCCCCTTAAATAATTTGTTAATAGTAGCGGAATTGTTGGCAGTGAAGGCCGACGCTATTACATCTGTTTATTGTAGTTTTATAGAGGAAATTATAATAATAATGTCGAATCTATAATGACTTAATGTCAAACAATGAATGAAATCTAATCATTCATAGCAAATTAAAAATTGTCTTTTCCCAAAATAATATCATTCGTACAGGTTCTTCATTTATGGTGCATCAAATTTTGGACTAAGTAACCATGAACCATAGAAATGAATGAATTATTTTTTATTTTCAAAATTTCTTCTTCTCGTGTGCGCAATAAACTGGAACATCGCGATTCGGTTTGAAATATTCCGAAACAATATATGGTATTCGAGTGTCCTAATTTCATAGCGAAATAAAGTTGCTTCCGTGCGAAATAAAAATTCACATTATAACTGAATGCATCAAACTAAAGTACATGAGACTTAAAGTCTAAAATATATAAAACTTATACTTTATACATTGAATTTTCTTTTTTTCAGGGTTTCCGGACTTTATTAGCTCAAACCTTAACTACAGATGATGTTATTGTATGGACAGCTTCGTTGAAACAAATTACATCTTTTACTACAGATTCAATCATGCTTTACTTTGTTGATAGTTTTTTAAAAAAGCATGATTCGAATGACTTTATGCAGTATGATAGGTGTTGTAAAAATATAAAGCATAAAAAATTAAGTGCATTTTGTATTAATAAATTCAATAAGTTTACAATTGAAAAATTAGAATTTGACAGTCAGCTTTATCAAATTCGACAAGACATGTCATACATCGAAAACCGATATCTGCAAAATTTGATAATAATTGCTTACGAATGTGTTATCAGAGATAAAATTAGTTTACTACCATTATGGTTTGACATATACAAATCAGCTATTTCACTAAAAGTGAAGGCAAATCCATCTCTAATTTGGCAAATCAAGTTTTTATGTTTGCCTAGTTTGTATAAAGATTATTGTTCAGATCTAGAAAGATTAATTAACATAGAAAATATTTTAGCAAACAAACAGCAAATATCTCTACAAATGGATTCATGGGAATCAGGTTTGTACAAAACTTACTTTTTATGATAAGGTCAATTTTCTTACGTTTAAGTTATATATTTTACAAAAAAAAGTAAAGAATAAGTTAATACATTGAGATCTGCAATGGCTGTGTCGGTAGGGCGATGAACTCGCACCCGGTAGGCCCGGATTCAATTGCCACTCCTTGCTGATTGATCCAAGCAACACTGAAAAAAGTTTTATGTACTTTATTCTTAAACACATTGCAGCCTGAGTTGCTGATTAGCACTGATGGAGCATAAATAGAGCGACGTTAAAAAAAAAATAAAAAATTTAATAGAGTAGTTTCTTTTTAAAAATCATAAAATAATCACAGATTTTTCAAATTTTATAGTATTTTTCTAATTTTTCAAATAATAACCAGAGATAGTTTCTATAACAAACCGAACGTTTTTAATAGTGATAAAATAGTAAATTTATCACAACAGTATTCGACATCAAGAGTGTGATCAAATATACAATAATTACAACGCTACATGATTTGATCAATCGATACGTTCGCGATTCGGTAGCACTCATGATGTTAGAGCGAACTTCTAAGAGAGAGAGAGAGAGATAGATAGATAGATAGAACAAACTTTATTTACTCCACGGTAAAAATTACAAATTTAGTTACAATACAAATGTAGTGTAACTAATAACAATAGTACAGCTATAACATGTCAGCAATTAAAGTCGTATGACATAAAATTTCCAGTAAGTCACATATCATAAAGTTTTGGTAGGTCACATACATAAAAATTAGAATGAGTCATACACATAAAATCAAAACCAGTCGTATAACATAAAAATTGATTAGTCATACAACATAAAATAAAATAAAACATAGTAAAATCAGTCATATAACATACTAATTAACAGCCAACAGGTGAGACGACGTGCTGTTCATTTGCTGATTTCTATCTAAAACTCCGGTGTTTGATGTTTTAAGTGCTGATTGCACAGTCAGGAGTTACATTAATCGAGGCTAAGTTTGCCGAGTCAAAAACACTAGTCGGCCCGTACGGCCACACCGTTGGCCACTCCACCCCGACCCTCCGGACCACTGTCTAGGCTCAGGATGTACCCCCGAACCGCTACCTTGAATGAGGCAAGCGTCGGAAGCTACCGGAGCGACTGAGGAAGGGAGTTCCAGTATCGCGCCCCCGCGACCCCGAATGATCTTAGTGCAGCCTCAGTGCTCACCGATGGCACCTTCAGCTCGGCCCTCTCGCTACAGCCCCTCCCCGGGTACCTGGACACGTGCAAGGCAAATAAATGGAATAGGTACTGTGGCTCCCTCATTCGCAGAACCTTGTACAACAGTACCGCCAAAAAGTAATTTCTGCGAGAATTGGAGAGGAACCAGCCAAGCCGTTTCCTGTAAGGAGTTATGTGCTCATCCCTCCTGACACCAAAGATATACCTGATGCAGGAGTTACTGAGCCTCTGCAGCCTTTGTAGCTGTTCCCTGCTCGCATGCAGGCACACGACCGCGCAGTAGTCCAGATGCGGCTGAACCAGGGACTCGACCAATCTCCGTCTAAGTGATGAAGTTGTGCAAGCCCTGATAAAGCGCAAGCTGTACAGCGCCCTATTTACCTTTTTGGCCACCTGGTCTATATGCTGCCGCCAAGACAGCTTGCTGTCCAGCGTCACACCCAGACTGCCACCTCATCTCGAAAAGGAACGAAGACCCCGTCCCGCACCTCCACGCCTGGCAAGCACTCACTGTTTAGGGTGTTAATATTCGTTCTCGAACCACAGATAATTGCTTTTGTCTTACCAGCATTGAGCCGCAGGCCGGAGCACTCCGCCCAGTCAGACACTAAACGCGCCACACGCGACAACCGCGATATTCCTTCATGAAGCATACCCTTGCTCACACTCATGTAGATCTGCAAGTCGTCAGCATACAAGATGTGGCTAATGCCCCGATCAGCAATCACATTCTGCAGGTCGTTGACAAAAAGACAGAAAAGTAGAGGTCCCAAAACGGACCCCTGCGGGACACCCAGATTGGTTTCAAGCCACCCCGAGTCGCCCGCTTTAGAGGATACCCGTTGGGTGCGACCCTGCAGATATGACTTGATCCAAAGCAAAGCCGACCTTGAGAGAGAGAGAGAGAGAGCGCGCGAGAGTTCAATTTTTCAGTTAAGCCTCAGTTGTTGTTCATGAGAGTACCGCCAAATTGTTTTCTATTGTGTTCCTGCCGTTTTTCCGATCAAAAGTTATCTTTCTGGATTTTTTTATACGTGCGCAAGTGATCGAAAGAGTAATCACAGCAGCAGCAAGTGAGCAGCAGCATGAATCGTAGCAACAGCCAATTTGCATCGAGGAGAATCAGCGCAGTCGTTCCTAGGAAGGAATACGTTGGTCAACATGAATTTGGTTAAACAATTACGACTGATCACCGTAATTGCACCGCAGAGTAAGTGCACCACCCTTTTTCTGTGTGAAAATACTTACGAGAGTATTTTGTCTATCGCGGCCGTTTAAGTGTTCGCGCTGAGTGTTAGTTTTCGCGGTTAAATTTTGAATTCTCTCTCTCTCTCTCCGTATTATTGAAAATTTGTAAATCCTATTCGTGTGCGTAAGTCTTTCGGCCCAACGAAGACTGTAGTTTTTTAGTCATAAACGATTTTAATTTTATTCGTCGTATTACGTTATTTCTTTCCCTTTTAATTTAACGGATCCGTCACCGATTAATTTTTAAACCTATTTCATTTAGTGGATAGTTGGAGTAAACATGAGGTCTTTCACACTTAAGATAGATCGAGTGTCACAAGTCAGGTGACTTAAGGTGAGTTCAACTCTGTTGGAAAAGGAGACATCGGAACGATAGTATCAAACGTAAAGGTGAATACACGTATACTCATACGTTTTTAAAGGAGCGGCGTTTAGCTCTACATCGTGAGAGTTTGTTTGTGACGGGCGAATCGATCGTTGAGTTCGATCGCCCTGTTCGCCTCTCTCTCTCTTCCGCGTGCCTTCCCCTGAGCCGCAGCCATATCGGTCTTGGTTGATTAAAACCGAGTATCGACGCACGATGTGGCTTTGTTGCAGGTTTGATTCCTGATCGGCGGAGATGCCTGGCGTTGGAGGGATAGGGAAAGAGCGGAGAGCAGAGGAGGAGAGGGAGAAGTAGTGTCGCCGGCTGAAGTCGCACATGCGTGTGTAGCCGACGGCGCTCGGTCGTTTTCGGTGCCTGTGGGGAGGGGCGCGTAAGACGTTGCGGAAGGCGCGAGATCGGACAGGAGTAGTAGGGTTTTGACCGGCAACTAATTGCTAGCTAGTTGAGCCTCGCGACAAAAAACAGTGTGTGCAGTTGATTGTCATCGAGCGACCATCATCAAGGAGGAAGACCAGCTACATCCATAAATCCGCCTTTGAGGACGACATCGTTGGCCCAGTGGACGCGGACTTCCGCAGTAGCGCTCCCTCCCAAGGTCAGATACCCTTTTTGTTTTTCGGTTGCGTGCCTCGATTTCTCTCTCTCCAAGCATCGTATCGGCCGGACGCGGATGAGTGGCTGTATGCCTGAATTCGCGGGATAGTTGTAAGGCGAAGGTCTGTTTCCTGTGCGTTAATTCGCACGGAATGGACTTAGTCCGGAATTGGCCGACGCACACGTCAACGCCATATGTATATTGTTATTTTAATAAAGTGAAAATATCCGAACCGATAAGTTTATTTATACAACCTGCCTCTCTCGTAACTAGTCAAACCGCGATTATCGATATTACCGGACGACATAGCCCTCGTTAATTTTCCGCGACGAAGCGAGTGCGCCTTCCGAGCCTTTCCCCTTAAATAATTTGTGACGCAATGTTGTTCGGGCTTAAATTATTAACGTACGTGTTACATGGCATCCCTTGTGGGGAAAGTGCGGAAATCGGGATTGAGATGATCGTGAGAAAGAGAGACAGGACGTGAATTTATAAAGTAGAAAAGTAATTCGCGGAGACAAAGGAATTTGAAAAGGTTGGTTGAGGCCGAGAGGAGAGGTGACCGAACGATCGGCCGAGCTGCGTTGAGTCGCGGCTCGAGCGATGTTTGGTTACATTCCCCATCTCGGGTTCACAGAGAGCGCCGATCGAGAGAGAGAGATACGAGGCCGAAATTGTAGCATGGTTGTGTTGTCGTCGCTACACTCAGGCACGGGCGAGTGAGTCATCGACCTAACGTGTCGAAGGCCACTATTCATCATACCCATAGTATACGGCCAGTAAAAGGACGGATAGACGAATCCATTTAAGAAGCGGTTGTTGTCAGCGCGGTTAGTTAGATACTTGAATGGTATGGCCATTGGCTACTAATCTGTTTTGATTAGCGGATTATAAAAGGTGCGCCCTTGCCTGGGAGCCGCGACGAGAGAGAGTAGTTAGTATTTGTGTTTTTATTTTGAGATTAAGGACGCAGAGCAGTGCGTATAGTTCGCACTGCCTGAAAAATTATTTTATATTATTGATCGAGTGTAACGGATAAACGGGAGAAAGCGAATGCGTAGAAGTCGCATCCGTCGTTGATGGGAGTAGGCCGGACGATAATTTGGGGCAAGTTAGTGTTGGTTACTAGTGTTTCTTTTTGTTTAATTTCGTTTTAGAATTGGACAGTTGCGCGACGCGGTCGTCGGTTGTGCCCACATCGCGAGCGTGATAGTAGATTGGGCGTTCGGGCGGTGCGAGAAGCAGGGGGCTTGTCAGGATGCCGCCAAGCGGGACGGCGGGCGCGATTATGCGCGAAATATTAAAGGATAGATCGGTACGGGCTCTTAAGCGGCGAATCAATGAAACTCCGCCCGCGGAGTTACTGAGTCTCCTTAAGAGTTATGGCCTTAGCGTGACGGGTGGCTTCGGGGAACTTCAGGAGCGCATGCTGCGCTACATGATCTCGCGTGAACGGCCGGAGTTTAATCCGCCCCTGAGTCCTAGTGACTTTGAGTCGGGCGTTATGCCGGGCCCGCCGGATGCCATTCTGCGGGAGGAATCGCGTGAGATC